TAGCCAAATGCAAATCTTGTGAAAAACAGTCAGAAAAGATGAATAGAGAAAAAAATGTTAGTGGCCTCCACCTGTAAAACCATTCATGTTTTTGGGTTCATCTCATTGTTGCCCATCTAGTGCACCTGTTGTTAATTTCATTACCACCAAAGCAGCTGAAACTGATTACCACCCCCCCTCTGCTACTTACCTGACCAGATCCATATCCCAGCAATTTCAGTGACTTGATGCTATACTCTGATTACAAAGTGTTCTTTTAATTTTTTTAAGCAATGTGGGTGTATGTATGTATGTGTGTTTTATGTATACTCTATATTGCCAAACGTATTCCTCCAATTCATTGGATTCCGGTGCTGCTCCGATCATCTCCATGTCCACAGGTGTATACAATCTAGCCCCTAGGCATGCAGACTGCTTCTACAAACATATGTGAAAGAATGGGGTCGCGCTCTCAGGAGCTCAGTGACTCCAAGCGTGGTCCCGTGATAGGTGGCCACCTGTGCAATAAGTCCATCCGTGACATTTCCTGGTTACTAAATATTCCACGCTCAACTGTTAGTGGGATTATAAACAAAGTGGAAGCAACTGGGAACAACAGCCACTCAGCCACCAAGTGGTAGGCCACGTCACATGACAGGGCGGGGTCAGCGCACAGTGTGCAGAGGTCGCCAACTGTCTGCAGAGTCAACAGCTAAAGACCTCCAAACTTGGTGTGGCTTTCAGTTGAGCCCAACAACAGTGCATAGAGAGCTTCATGGAATGGGTTTCCATGGCCGAGCAGTCTTTCATCACCAATTGCAATGCAAAGCGTCGGATGCCATGGTGTAAAGCACGCCACCACTGGATTATAGAGCAGTGGAGACGTGTTCTCTGGAGTGACCAATCACACTTCTCTGTCTGGCAATCCGATGGACGTGTCTGGGTTTGGCAGTTGCCAGGAGAACGATACTTGCCTGACTGCATTGTGCCAAGTGTAAAGTTTGGTGGAGGGGGATTATGGTGTGAGGTTGTTTTTCAGGGGTTTGACTTGGTCTTAGGGCGTCAGCATACCAAGACATTTTGGATAATTTCATGCTCCCAACTTTGTGGGAAGAGTTTGGGGATGGCCCCTTCCTGTTCCAACATGACTGCACACCAGTGCACAAAGCAAGGTCCATAAAGACATGGAGGAGCCAGTTTGGGGTGGAGGAACTTGACTGGCCTGCACAGAGTCCTGATCTCAACCCCATAGAACCAGGCCTCCTCCCCCGACATCAGTGCCTGACCTGACAAATGTGCTTCTGGAAAAACGATCCAACCTTTCCATAGCCACCTCCTAAACCTTGTGGACGGCCTTCCCAGAAGAGTTGAAGCTGTTATAGCTGCAAAGGGCGGAGCCAACCCAATGTTGAACCCTAAGAGTGGGATGCCATTAAAGTTCATGTGCGTGTAAAGTCAGGCGGCCCAATACTTTTGGCAATATAGAGTGTGTGAGAATTTGGAGGCCGAGTCAACATCTTAAACGTGTTCCTCAAACCATTTTTTAATTCATCAGACCAGGTCAACTTCTTCCTTTGCTCTGTGTTCCAGTTCTTATGCTCATGTGCTCATTGTACGTGCTTTTGGCTATAGACATGGGTCAGCATGGACACCCAGACCTGTTTGCGGCTACACAGCCCCTTACACAACAAACCACAATGCTTTGTCTGTCCTGATACCTTTCTATTCGAACCAACATTCACTTTTTCAGCAATCTGAGCTCTAGTAGCTCTTCTTTTGGATCGGACTACACGGACCAGCCTTTGCTCCCCATGTCCATCAGTGAGGCTTAGCCGCCCATGACCCTTTCACCGGTTCACTGGTTTCCCTTGCTTGAACCATTTTTGATCAGTCCTGACCACTGTAGATGGGGAACATCACACAAGAGCTGCAGTTTTGGACTTGCTCTGACCCAGTCATCTAGACATTACAATTTGGCCCTTATCAAAGTCCCTCAATTCCTTACACTTGCCTTTTTTTTTCTGCTTTCAACACATCAACTTCAGGGACAACATGTTCACTTGTTGCCTAATTAATCCCACCCACTTTCAGGTGCTGTTAAAACAAGATAATCAATGTTACTCACTTTTATCTGCTGGTGGTCTTCATGTTATGGGTGATCGGAGTATATTTATAATTATATGTGATAATATTTAGGTGGATGTTTTTAGGTGTTCAGCTGCTAAACTAAGGGATCAATGAATGCAATAAATGCTGGTTCAACATTGTTATTAGTCATGGTATGATGTCATGGTCAGCAGGGCACACCAGGGGTCTCCTGGCCTGTCAGTCAAGGTACAGTGGGGCAAAAAAGTATTTAGTCAGCCACCAATTGTGCAAGTTCCCCCACTTAAAAAGATGAGAGAGGCCTGTAATTGGCATCATAGGTAGACCTCAACTATGAGAGACAAAATCCAGAAAAAAAATCCAGACAATCACATTGGCTGATTTGGAAAGAATTTATTTGCAAATTATGATGGAAAATAAGTATTTGGTCAATATCAAAAGTTCATCTCAATACTTTGTTATATATCCTTTGTTGGCAATGACAGAAGTCAAACGTTTCCTGTAAGTCTTCACAAGGTTGGCACACACTGTTGCTGGTATGTTGGCCCATCCTCCATGCAGATCTCCTCTAGAGCAGTGATGTTTTGGGGCTGTCGCTGGGCAACACAGACTTTCAACTCCCTCCAAAGGTTTTCTATGGGGTTGAGATCTGGAGACTGGCTAGGCCACTCTAGGACCTTGAAATGCTTCTTACGAAGCCACTCCTTCGTTGCCCGGGCGGTATGTTTGGGATCATTGTCATGTTGGAAGACCCAGCCACGTTTCATCTTCAATGCCCTTGCTGATGGAAGGAGGTTGGCACTCACACATGGCCCCATTCATTCTGTCCTGTACATGGATCAGTCGTCCTGGTCCCTTTGCGGAGAAACAGCCCCAAAGCATGATGTTGCCACCCCCATGCTTCACAGTAGGTATGGTGTTCTTTGGATACAACTCAGCATTCTCTCTCCTCCAAACACGACGAGTTGTGTTTCTACCAAACAGTTCTATTTTGGTTTCATCTGACCATATGACATTCTCCCAATCCTCTTCTGGATCATCCAAATGCTCTCTAGCAAACTTCAGATGGGCCCGGACATGTACTGGCTTAAGCAGGGGGACATGTCTGGCACTGCAGGATCTGAGTCCCTGGCGGCGTAGTGTGTTACTGATGGTAGCCTTTGTTACGTTGGTCCCAGCTCTCTGCAGGTCATTCACTAGGTCCCTCCGTGTGGTCCTGGGATTTTTGCTTTCCGTTCTTGTGATCATTTTGACCCCACGGGGTGAGATCTTGCGTAGAGCCCCAGATCGAGGGAGATTATCAGTGGTCTTGTATGTGTTCCATTTTCTAATTATTGCTCCCACAGTTGATTTGTTCACACCAAGCTGCTTGCCTATTGCAGATTCAGTCTTCCCAGCCTGGTGCAGGTCTACAATTTTGTTTCTGGTGTCCTTCGACAGCTCTTTAGTCTTCACCATAGTGGAGTTTGGAGTGTGACTGTTTGAGGTTGTGGACAGGTGTCTTTTATACTGATAACAAGTTCAAACAGGTGCCATTGATACAGGTAATAATTGCAGGACAGAGGAGCCTCTTAAAGAAGAAGGTACAGGTCTGTCAGAGCCAGAAATCTTGCTTGTTTTTAGGTGACCAAATACTTATTTTCCACCATAATTTTCAAATAAATTCTTTCCAAATCAGCCAATGTGATTGTCTGGATTTTTTTTCTCATTTTGTCTCTCATAGTTGAGGTCTACCTTTGATGCCAATTACAGGCCTCTCTCATCTTTGTAAGTGGGAGAACTTGCACAATCGGTGGCTGACTAAATACTTTTTTGCCCCACTGTATGATGTCATGATGGGTGGGGACAGATCTGGAGTCTGAAATGCCCAGCTGCTCCCGCTACAACAAATTGAGAACTAATGACTGTTGCTCTTAGAAATCAACTACAAAGATGAAAGTACACAACCAGCTTGTTGTCCAGGGGGTAGAGGGTTAATACTAGAGGGGTAGAGGGTTAGGACTAGAGGGGGGTAGGGGGTTAGGACTAGAGGGGGGTAGGAGGTTAGGACTAGAGGGGGTAGGAGGTTAGGACTAGAGGAGGTAAGAGGTTATGACTATAGAGGGGGTAGGAGGTTAGGACTAGAGGGGGGTAGGAGGTTAGGACTAGAGGGGGTGGGATGTTAGGACTAGAGGGGGTGGGAGGTTAGAACTAGAGGGGGTGGGAGGTTAGGACTAGAGGGGGTGGGGGGTTAGGACTAGAGGGGGTGGGGGGTTAGGACTAGAGGGGGGTGGGGGGTTAGGAATAGAGGGTGTAGGAGGTTAGGACTAGAGGGGTAGGAAGTTAGGACTAGAGAGGGTAGGAGGTTAGGACTATAGGGGCGTAGGAGGTTAGGACTAGAGGAGGTAGAGGAGGTTAGGACTAGAGAGGGTAGGAGGTAGGACTAGGACTAGAGGGATAGAGGGGTGAGAAGGGACTAGAGGGGGTTGGGAGTTAGGACTAGAGGAGGATAGGAGGTTAGGACTAGAGGGAGGTAGGGGGTTAGGACTAGAGGAGGTAGGGGGTTAGGACTAGAGGAGGTAGGGGTTTAGGACTAGAGGGGGTGGCAGGTTAGGACTAGAGGGGGTAGGAGGTTAGGACTAGAGGGGGGTGGAGGTTAGGACTAGAGGGGGTTAGGGAGGTTAGGACTAGAGGGGGTGGGGGATTAGGACTAGAGGGGGTGGGGGGTTAGGACTAGAGGGGGTGGGGGGTTAGGACTAGAGGGGGTGGGAGGTTAGGGCTTGTTACTTTATTCTTCTTGAGCCAATCACAGGTTCACATTTTAGAATCACAGATTGGAGGCTTTTATTCTGGAGCCATAGAACTAATACTGAATATATTTTCCAGCGCTGGTCTTTATTTCTGGTCTGTTGTTCTCCTTCTTTCCTCTCTTGTAGTTCTCTATGTACATCATGGATGACCGATTTCCTCTGGTCCCCTTGGCTAAATGGATACACATGCTGGAGAGGCCGCCTGTGTTTGTCAGCGTCATTCCAGGAGGCGAATCTGAGCGGACTAACAAGATCCTTCTGGGAACTCAGCACAGCCAGGAGACGGTACTGCTGCAGTACTCAGGTACCGCCGGCTGTCCAATACTGGGCTCCCCCGAGTAGAGTATCCACCGGCTGTCCAATACTGGGCTCCCCCGAGTAGAGTATATCCGCCGGCTGTCCAATATTGGGCACCCCTGAGTAGAGTATCCGCCGGCTGTCCAATACTGGGCACCCATGAGTAGAGTATCCGCCGGCTGTCCAATACTGGGCACCCATGAGTATATCTGCCGACTGTCCTATACTGGGCACCCCCGAGTAGAGTATCCGCCGGCTATCCAATACTGGGCACCCCATGAGTAGAGTATCCGCCGCTGTCCAATACTGGGCTCCTCCGAGTAGAGTATCCGCCGGCTGTCCAATACTGGGCACTCCATGAGTAGAGTATCCACCGGCTATCCAATACTGGGCACCCCTGAGTAGAGTATCCGCCAGCTGTCCAATACTGGGCTCCTCCGAGTAGAGTATCCGCCGGCTATCCAATACTGGGCACCCCCTGAGTAGAGTTTCTGCCGGCTGTCCAATACTGGGCTCCCCGAGTAGAGTATCCGCCGGTACTGGGCACCCCCGAAGAGTATCTGGCTGTTCAGTACCCCCCCGAGTAGAGTATCCGCCGGCTATCCAATACTGGCCACCCCCGAGTAGAGTATCCGCCGGGCTGTTCAGTACTGGCCACCCCCGAGTAGAGTATACCGGCCGGCTGGCCACCCCCGAGTCCCGGCTGTCCATACTGGGCACCCCGAGTAGAGTATCCGCTGGCTGTCCAGTACTGGGCACCCCCTGAGTAGAGTTTCTGCCGGCTGTCCAATACTGGGCTCCCCCGAGTAGAGTATCCATTGGCTTTCCGTACTGGGCACCCCCGAGTAGAGTATCCACCGGCTGTTCAGTACTGGGCACCCCCGAGTAGAGTATCCGCCGGCTATCCAATACTGGCCACCCCCGAGTAGAGTATCCGCCGGCTGTTCAGTACTGGGCACCCCCGAGTAGAGTATACTGGCCACCCCCGAGTAGAGTATACTGGCCACCCCCGAGTAGAGTTTCTGCCGGCTGTCCAGTACTGGGCACCCCGAGTAGAGTATCCGCTGGCTGTCCAATACTGGGCACCCCCGAGTAGAGTTTCTGACGGCTGTCCAATACTGGGCACCCCCGAGTAGAGTATCTGTTGCTAAAGTGCTGGAGTTTAGGCTTTGTGTTTCTGTCCATACAGTTCTGAGATTTACACAGCTGTGTCACACAGCAAGGTCCTGTCTGGCAGTATAGGAGATCTGATTTTTTTTCTCTGCTGCAGTTCAGTAATACATCCAGGTCTTGTCCCCTCCCCCAGCCTGTAACAGGACAGTGAAAGAAGAAGCAGCAATTGGATGAGGTCATCTCTCTGTCACTCTGCTCTCTCCTCCTATCAGTGTGCTCCTAGCACTGCAGCAGATCTGATTGGTTCCTTGTGCTTCATCTCCCTTCTACAGTCTGAGCTTACAAGGGTTTAGGAGAGGTTGATACTACATGTAATGATGAATACGGGGATGCATTCATTTGTGCCTTTTAAATCTGCCCGGAGTCTGGCTGTAAGGGGCTGCTTTACGTCCTGCACGAATTACAGTTGCAAGAAAAAGTATGTGAACCCCTTGGGATTACGTGGAGTTTTGCATGAATTGGGCATAAAATGTGCTCTGAACTTCATGCAAGTCAACAATTCTTGATCGTAGGTCTTCTGAGAGCTCTTTTCTGCGAGGCATGGTTCACATCAGACAGTGCTTCTTGAAACCAGTAAACCCAAAACAGGTGTGTGTTTTTTTAAGGGCAGGACAGCTGTCAGCAACACATCCAATATCATCACACTGATTGGAGTCAAGGTTGGCTCACTCCTGGCTCCAATTAGCTCTGGGAGAAGTCATTAAGCTAGGGCCTCACATACTTTTTCCTCCCTGCACTGTGAATGTTTACATGTTATGTGCAATTAAACCATGGCAACATCTAATGTTTGTGTAGTATTATGTTCAGCAGACTGTGTTCTTCTATTGTTGTGACTTAGATGACGTTCAGAGCACATTTTATGCCCAATTCATGCAAAACGCCACGTAATCCCAAGGGGTTCACATACTTTTTCTTGCAACTGTATAGTAATGGGCCAATAGGATTGTGTGTGTGTGTGGGGGGGGGGGGGGGTTTGGGAGGTTGCTCCTCTAGGTGGCGCTACTTTTTTATGTGTGGGGTACTCACATTGATTTGTGTGTTGCTTTTTCTCCAGGAGGTGATTTGAACCCTTGCCAACTGCATCTACCCGCAGTGAGACTCTCGCAGAGTTCAGGGTCCCTCCATCATCTGGATCCATTATTGCCCCACGAACGGGAGATTGCGGCACAGAGACTGGCATCTCCGATGGCAGGTAAGTGTTCCTGTGTGTGGCATGAGGAATGACATCCCTGATGAAGGACCATTAGTCCTTACACTTCATCTTCAGACAGGCAGATCCTTGGTCTAACACCTTGGTGACAGATCGCGCCGCTACACGGCCCTGCGGCCGCGTGAGTGGCTCGTTTTGACAGGATGTCATATGACGCCCAATCACAACGGTGAGTGTCCTGCCTAGCCGTCAATCTGCTATAGGCCGGGTGGGACACTCGCCATTGTGGCTGGGCGTCATATGACATCCTGTCAAAACGAGCCGCTCGCGCAGTGGTGCGTTCTGTCACAACGATGACATATCACTACACCTACCCATTGCCAGTGTCATGTGACTGCCGTGACCAATCACAGCAGATAACATGTCGATTGTATACAATGGATGGCTTCCTATCATGCCATTCATTGTATACAATTATGTTGTTAGCTGTGACTGGTCAAGGAGGTCACATGATACAGACAGGGCCAATCACAGACCATCTGTATCATGTGATCAGCTTTGCCCAATCACAGCTAATCACAACAAAAGACTGAATAAATCAGTTTCATTCAGTAACAATGATTGCAAATATCAATTAAATACATCGGTGTTAGCAATCATAATGTGCTAAAAAACTCAATCCTGATCACTCGTCCAGAGTAGTTCAATGTTACTATGGTAACATTGTATTGATTTGGTCACAGTGTGCCGAAAAATAAAATAGTAAAAAAAAAATGTAATAAAAAATAATAGAAACGTTTGAAAAGAAAATACAAATTCAATTAGTATTATTATTTTCAACAAAGAAATGTATCAGAATACATTTTTATCTAAATTTATGAAGATATTTTATTTATTTGCAAAATTTTATAACAGAAACGAAGAAAAGTGCGTTTTTTTTGTTTCAAGTTTCAGGTGTTCTTTGTTTAATTTAGCAAAAAATAAAACACCCAGTGACGATTAAATACCACCAAAAGAAAGCTCTATTTGTGTGAAAAAAATGATAAAAATGTCATATGGGTACAGTGTTGCATGACCGCGCAATTGTCATTCAAAGTGTGAGAGCGCTGAAAGCTGAAAATTGGCCTGGACAGGAAGGGGGTATAAGTGCCCAATATTGAAAGGGTTAAAAAAACATTTATTACAGAGCTGTTCTTCCATGATGTGCCTTTGACATTATTGTCATTTGTGAGGGTATAATACCTACTTTTATCGCTTTAATAAATGTTTTTTAAGGTAATGCACTAGGCCGGTGCGCCCTCTGTTTGTTTTCTTTTTATCAGTGAGCCACCACCTTAGATTGTACGCTCCTCGGGGGCGGGGACTGATGTGAATGTACAATATATATGTAAAGCGCGGCGTAAATTGACAGAGCTATATAAGTACCTGAAATAAATGTCAGGGCGCCTACACGTGAAAACGCTGATTGCGGCACACATTACATTCCGCCACGCACGTCGGAGTAAGAACAATAATTCCAGCACCTCCTCAGTAACACTGAACTGATGACCTGTAGGGGGCTTTTGAAGCCTCGCCTATAGAAAATATAGGGTCCTGACGTTTGTCGCCAGTCATAGGCGCACACAAAGGTTTGGCATGTTGGGTATCTATTTACTCGGCACAACCTCGTCTTTTATATTTTGCCAAAAATTTGGGTAATTTATTGCGTTTTTTTTTTTTTGCCTTAAAATTCACTTTAGTGTGTTTTTTTACTGAAATTTTGGATTTACTAGACTTTTGCGGTAATATGGTGTGACATAAAAATTGAAACTACCGCTATTTTATTCTCTGGGGTGTCTGCTTTCAGAAATGAGATCATGTTTGGGGGTTTTGTGTCATCTTCAGGCCTAAAACGATTTTATTTAAATGCGTGCAAAAAAAAAAAAAAATGCAAAAACGGCTCTGATAGCGAAAGAGTTAATGCATTGCTTGTTTTAACCACTTGCCCTCCTGAGGATTCCCCCCCCCCCCCCCTTCCTGAACAGGCCTTTTTTTTTGCGTTACTTTAACTGACAATTGCGCAGTCATGCAACGCTGCACCCAAATTAAATGTATGTCATTTTTTTTCCACAAATCGAGCTTTCTTTCAGTGGTATTTGATCGCCTCTGCGGTTTTTATTTTTTTTGCGCTATAAAAAAAAAAAAGGCTGACAATTTTTAGAAAAAAAAAAAAAACAATATTTTTTACTTTTTGCTATTAATCATGTCCAGTAAAACAATAAAAAAATCAATTTTGGCATAAATGTATTCTGCTCCATGTCTTTGCTAAAAAAAAAAATACCAATATGTGTAAATTATTTGGTTTACGTGAAAGTTATAGCGTTTACAAATGGCGGGATATATACTGGGAATTTTTTTTTTTTTTAATTTTTACTAGTAATGGCGGCGATCAGCGACTTATAGCGGGACTGTGGCGGGCATTCTGAGACTGGGGGGGGGACTGACTTGGTGTCACTGACATCCCCAGTGACACCAATACAGTGATCAGTGGTAATCAAAAAGCACTGACACTGTACTAATGGCACTGGGCAGGAAGGGGTTAACATCTGGGGCGATCAAAGGGTTACCTGTGTGCTGTGTGTGCTTTACTATGAGACTGTGTGTATGCTTTCCACTGTAAGCACACTGCTATGCAGAGCCATACAAAGCAGTGTGCAACAGCTGACAACTGTTTATATACAGTTCTCTCCCCCGTCAGTAATACTCAGCGATCACCGGGTGCAGGCGAGTAATCACCTGCCGGGACCCAGTGATTGACAGCCGAGACCCCGAATGGTGGGGCAGGTAGGGTGCACGCTGGTTGGTCACACCCCCTGCCCCCAAAATACCCAGAAATGCAAAATATATATTATATATATATATATACACACCCATATATATATATATATATGTATATATATATATATATATATATATGATTTTGCGCACCCCTACCGCCCTGTATGTGGCGCCCCCCTGTGTAGCAGCACTTCTGCTATAGGGCAGCTGGAAAGCGGTTAAGGTAAAAAAAATGTTTTATATATCTTTGTCCTCTCCCTTCCCTGTGTGAAGCTCTATGCATGGCTGCATCTACTCTCCCCGCTTCTCCTCTTTATACGAGTACTCGATCAAAGGCACTGGGCTACGTCCCGTCATGTGTGTCTATGGAGCGGATAGCTGCACAGCTCAGGATTGAGCAGACACCATGTGCCCCCATAGCAGGCAGCTTGCTATGGGGACACACTAAGAAGAGGAGGAGCCAAGATCGCTGGTGGGGGACACTAAGAAGAGGAGGATCGGGGCCGCTGTGTGCCGTACCAATGCACACAGCAGGTGAGTATAACATGTTTGTTATTTTACTTCGATATATATAAAAAAAATAACTTTATTAACACTTTAACCGTGAACGATAGCCCTAGAATAATTGCTCGCACTCCAGCACTTGTGAAGATACCTTCACACGTGTGGCACAATTGATATTTACATACGTTCTCGCCCTACACTCCACTTTTTTATATGGGGTGTTTACAGGGGTGAAATTTGGATTTGTAAAATTAGGATTTCTTTTATGTAATTATTTTTTGTTCACACTTTATTTTTATTTTTTTTTTTTTAACTTTATTGCTGTCACAAGGGAGCTACTAAGCCCCATATGTGATAGCATGGGCAGGTACACTTCATGGAGACATTGAGGGTCTATTAGATTCCAATTTCTTCCCTACCTCCAGTGCAGCTATTTAGGACACAGGTCTTGCTTGAATACTTCATCTCAGGCCAGTGGTGTATTTAGGTTTTGGCAACACAAAAACACAAAACACAAAAACACAAAAAATTGTCTGCCCCAACACACACCAACCAACAACTCCCCGCCTTCTGCGGAGAGATCCTGACACTGACCAACAACATCCCTGCCCCCCACTTGGAAAAGCCTTCCACTACCCCCCTCAGCAATGGAGGGAAAGACACTCATCTTCAAAGCTCCAGACATCCCTGGGAACGGGAATCAGGCTCTACATACACCATCAAGCAGCCCACAGCCTCTCTTGGATCCCACCTGGTTCCTATGGCTGCATGTCCCTTCTTTCTTCCCTTCTTCTGGGGGGAGATGCTGCCCCCCTGAAAAAATGCCGCCCTAGGCAAGTGCCTTGCTTGCCTTTTGGTAAGTACGCCACTGTCTAAGGCTACATGTGCATTTGCAAACATGTGTTGGGGCACTCAAACATTTTGGAGGGTGATTTTAAGTGCTTCTAATTTAATTTTTTACACTTTTTTTTTTATTTATCTCAAAGCTGACCGTCAGTCAGATGGTCAAATTTAGACACACTGGGGGTTATCTACGAAGACTGAAATCTGGTGCAGCTCTGCAGAGAAACCAATCCGCTTCCAGGTTTTATTATTGCTTCTTTAATAAAAAAAAAAAAAAAAAAAGTAAACTGTGAAATACAATGAGGGACATACTGAAAATAGATTTTGGGTAACAGCTTGCAATATTAAGACACTGTTGACCAAAAACCATTGTTTCCTTTTAAAATGTCTCACTTCCCTGAATTCTTTGTCTGTTCCCAGGGTTGGCTGCAGCATGCACTGCACTAAATCCAGAATTCCTGATGGTTTTCCATCTGACAGACGCCGGTGATGTCTTCAGTCAGCGGTTGCTGTATAACAAGTCTTTGGCTCCAAGCTCCAACCATTTTTCCAGGAGGAATCCAGCTTGTACTGCCGAGAAGACAGTGCCTAGTGGCACTCCAACAGAGCAGGTTTCAGAAGACGTCACCATTGAATTAGACATTTCTGGCCAAGAACCAGAAAGTGAACTAAATCTAGGAGCTGTGGATCGGTCTCCTGAAACTGTCTCCGCCAATGGAATTCGTGCCATAAGTCCTATCCATGAAGTACCGTCTAGCTCAGGTTCTCCACCTTCTTTCAGCACTAAGGCTAAAGTTTCTTTCAACAAGTGGATCCAACATTTACTTCGCAAAGGAAGCGTGGAGGTCCTCCAGCGTCCAGGATGCCAGATTAACAACTTGTTCAGTGCTGTAGAATTAGGTGAAACCCCTCAGAAGGTAGATAGATTGCGAGATTGCTTACGTCAAGGTATGAGAGCGGGCAAACTCATAAAATTGGACTCCCCAACCAGTTCTGCGACAGTGGAGCTTGTGCGCGCCGAGAACTGGAAAGACCCGTTAAGCCAGAGGCTTACTGCAGCCTGGGAGGGTCAGCTTGGACTGTGGTGGGATGACCACTTAGGCCTGAATAAGCTCAGCAAGATTCAGGCTCTTCGAGAGAAGAGACGAAGGCAAAAGCTGCAGAGGGCTCGAAGCCAAAGTTCCTTAACAGGAAGTCTCTTGTCCTCTCTCAGTTTTGGTTCAGATATTTTCAACACAGAAGCCAGTTCCCCATGGTCATACGATAGCGGTCCAGTGTCAGACGTGGACACGATGGTCTATTCTGCTGAAACGCAGGGTAGTTCAGTTTCTGTTGAACAGGGTGCTAATTGGAGCTTCCATTCAGGGCCTTCAACAAAGCCAGACCTCTTCCGTGTTAGACAGGCACAAGCCAACTCAAAAGTAAGCGACGCAAAGTCGTCAGTATCTTGTTCTATTACCTCCTCACAGTCCCTGCGCTCTAAGGGGATCCCCAGAGAAAGGAGGAGGACGCTGCAAGACTTCATGACTTTCTTTGGGGAGAGCAGAGACCCACCAGCCAGCGTTCCTACACAGATATCTCAGGAGATAACAACATCTCAGAGTTCACAGATCTCTCAACGGTACTCCCAGACACAAACTCTCTCAAAACGCACTGAAACGCAAACCAGCTCGCCGCCCTCTCAGGGTATAGCCTTCTCTCAGAGTTCCCAGACCCTCTCGCAAAGCCTCCAGCCACAGACCCCCCAACAGTGCTCCCAGATTCGAACACTCACTGAGGCACAAACACACTCACAGCTCTCTCGGAGAATAACCCCATCTCAGAACTCCCAGACCATTGTCCATCCACAGACTCCTTCACGGTACTCACAGACTCAAACTCTCCCTACGCGCCCTGGGATGCAAACCCACTCACAGCACTCTCAGAGTACCCAGTTCCTCCCACAAAGCCTCCAGCCACAGACCTCCTCCCAGATGCAGACTTACTCCCAGCGCTCTGCAACGCAAACCCGTTTGCAGCGACCACCCACTAAAAAGTTTCGTATGGGCTTCTGATCTACCTCCGTGACTGTAGTCACTGACCCAGTGCAGCTTTACCATTCCTGGTGCTCTTGTGACAGATTCTTAAAACCAGTCTGATAATTCCTTTGTGTTTTGTTTTTTTTTATCGCTGTATTTGTATAATGAAGTATGCCCTTTTCTGATTAAAGTACAGGGGTTGGACAAAATTATGGAAACACCAGGTAAAAGAACAAAACGGTTACTTAATATGGTGTTGGACCAACCTTTGGCATCCAAGACAGCCTGAATCCTTCTGGGAATTGACAAAATATAAGTCTTGGATAATGGAATCTGATATCACTCTTCATGCAAAAATAGGCCCAGTTCTTGCAGAGATGCCAGAGGTGGATAACGAGTCTGAACCTTCTTCACCAAAATTGACCATGGTGGCTCTATGATATTGAGGTCCGGCGATTGTGGCGCCCAGGGAAGGGGCGAAACTTTGGCTGCATGCTTGTCAAACCACGATTTGACATCACCAGCTGTTTGAATTGGTGCATTTTAGTAAGTGGCGCTGTCTTCTGGAAGCAATGTCTGCACCATGGGGTGCACATGGTTGGCCAAAATTTGTACGTAGTCGCTGGCAGTGATTCTACCTTTCAAAGTGATGATGGGGCCTGCAGAACACCAAGATATGTGGAATATACCCACAAAAGGAACAAATGTCAAGGGCACATCATATATACTACAGCAAGGTCCAGTCACAATGGATGATATCCGTAATGGGACTCCTAGACCTCCAAATGGCTGACACGTTTCAAGGGCTTTCCTCTTCATCACATCCAAGAGAAGCCATTTGGAGGTCTAGGAGTCCCATTACGGATATCATCCAGTGTGACTGGACCTTGCTGTACTATATATAATGTGCCCTTGACATTTGTTCCTTTATGAATAAATTTAATGGTAATATACTCACAAACAATCTTTTAAAACATAATGCACTAGGCCCATGTGCCCTCTGTTTGTTTCTGTTTCTGGATCCTCCTGGTCCGTTGAGGGCAGCAAGGCCTACAGTTTCCAGGCACCCCACTTGTGGTCCCAAACCTCTGTGGAGTCCATCCTCCAACGCAAGAGTTTATGTGAATACCAAGATACGGCTGCCCAAGCCAGGGTTGCACCTCCACTATGCTTTACAGTTGGCACAAGACAGTCCTGGCGGTCAGCTTTGGACGGTGTTGGCCACATGTAAACACGTCCGATGGTTGGGAACATTGTGAAGCTCGATTTATCGGACCATATTACAGTCTTCCATTGATCGATAGTCCACGATTTATGTGTGTTGCACCACTGTCTCTTCTTCTGAGCTTTAACCCCTTGGCGCCGGTGCCTTCCAGCCTTTTAAGGGTTTCAGGAGGCGGGGTTTGGGTTCATGTGATCGGGAAAGGTCCCGATCAAAAGAGGAGATTGGGACCTTTCTGTAAGTACCGGACATGCGTGCTGGGAGCGCGCGCTCTCAGCACATATTTTTTTTTTTCAATGGAACGCAAATGTGTGGCCGCTTGGCATCTAGGCCCAGACGGCGGGAGGCCGCACATTTGCATTCGGCCGGCGCCAAGAGGTTAATATCGGTCACTAGTGGTTACAGTTCGCCCGTGAATGTTCTGCTGAGGGAGTTCCCTCCGCCATTTTTGCGGACACCGGCTTTGGAAGACTGAGATTGAGCTCTACAGTCATTTTTGCAGCAGTTGTTTTTTTTTTATTCCGGGTCACAATCCTGTGCAATGTCCTTTTGCCTCTTTCGGTCAGTTGACCGTGTGGACCGCGCTTATGCTTCTCAGACGACGTTTCTCAGAAACTGTACATGTCATCATAACTTTTGATGCTGTACCGCATGGCACGGCAAATAAATCTGTAACATCAGTCACAGATAAGCGGCACCAACAATCTGCCCTCTTTGAAGCTCAGTAAGCTCTGACATGACTCCATATTACAGCGCACGCAGTGAATGACCAAAGTGAGGCTTCCCACCTGTTAGGTGTCTCATCACACAGTGGAAGCAAAAGAATGTTACATCGCTTCCGCTTTCAATGCAAATCATATCATCACTTTTCACACTTAGAAGTCATGTAGTGTTTCCATATTTTTGGCCATCCCCTGTACCCCTCAGTCTTGCACAATTGTACCGGCTCCTCTCTCTGCTGAAATGGCTTACTCTGATTTCACTGCATACTATGAAATCTCACCATCTCATAGAGAGCTCCGTCTCATTTCCTGGTTGGAGGACACTCAGCCTTTTTCAACCTTTTTCTTCAGAGGAACCTGGTGGAGAATGGCCGAGCTAGCCCTTTTCTCTGCAGCCTGAGTGCCCCTGGCTCACCCCTTTCATTCATTGGATTTTAGTTATTTCAATCATGGAGGCTCATTATCACATGTGGGCTTTACCTAAAGCAGTCTACATGCAATGAACGCCCACTCCTCCAGAATGACACCCACCCATCAAGGCATTTTGATATTTGCATAGCTCCTCCTAAAAGCCAGCCCCCTGCTTGCATCATCTCTGAGGACTCTTAAAGCGGAGCTCCACCCAAAAGGGGAAGTTCCGTTTTAAGCCTTTGTCCCCCGCTCCCCATTAAGGATTGGCACCTTTGAGGAGCGGGTACCCAAATTTGACAGGTACCCGCTCCCATTTCTGCTGCGATCGCCTAGGCGATCGGAAGTTGTCGTCCTCCCCCGTAGTGTTCTGACAGGTCCCAGAAGACTGCGGGGCCATTCACAAAGCGCAGCACTACTCACGCATGCGCAGCCAGGTGCCCACACTGAAGATGCTGGCACCAGGGATAGAAGACGGCTGGTGAAACCAGCGGTGGTGAGGACACCGCTGGACCGAGGGACAGGCAAGTGTCTGTATTTTAAAAGTCAGCAACTACAGTTTTTGTAGCTGCTAACTTTTGGGGTTTTTTTTAGGTGGAACTCTGCTTTAAGAGGAGCACTAAGGCAGGGTGCTGTGATGTTTTTCAGGAAGCTATGTACAGCCAGCACCTTGCCGGCCCCTCCCACCAACCATGATATGCCTGCAGTGCATAGAGATGCACAGACACCCCGTGAAGTCTTTCAGGATTATTTGCTAAACCTGGAGAGTGCAAAATCTGGTGCAGCTCCACATTGAAACCAATCAGCTTCCAGGTTTTATTGACAAACATTAATTGAAGTTAGAATCTGATTGGCTCCCATGTACAGCTGCACCAGATTCTGAGTGCTCCAGCTTTAGTACTTTTCCCCCCACTGAGTCTAACGTAAGATATATAATATATTGAACATTTTATGAAAGTTTTATATATTTTATAAAAAAAATAATAATTAGCATACGCATGAAGAGTGTAAATGAAGAACCAGGGAAAGTAAAATAAAAGCAGGTTAAAACTCAGCTTTAACATTTTGTTTTTTGTCTGTGGCCCTATTGGAGAGATTACCCATCACTTTCTGTCCTGACAGGAAATTCGGGGAAGTCTCCTCAACAGGGACATGGACATCAATCAAAAAAACTAAAATAAGATCTAATCCCTTCCCTAGATCTATCCAAACTGTTGAGCTTTAATACACCTTCTAAGGGAACAAGTTATTAACTTGGTTTTTATCAATTTATTTTCTGAATTAACAGGCCCTGCTCCGCTCACAGATGATTCAGGGAGCATCCATCTCTGTGGCCCCTATCTCCTACTGATTCCTCCTGCTGACCCCCACATTATGAGAGAAGACACTGATGACCTTGAGAACAGCATGAGGAGCCAGTGAGATCTACTGGGGCCCACGAAAGCATTAGGCTTCCCTGCGAGCTCTGGGGATCCTTTATCAGGATCGGAGTAATGTTCAGCAGCAGGAATGGGGTATATGTACAAAACATGACATACAGATCTATGTGGGTACTTGGGTATCGTTGGTGTTTTGGTCCTCTAAGCCATTTAGACAGACGCAATAGAGATCCCTATGTGGTTTACAGTGGAGCTGAAGATGGTGGATCTCCATGA